TTTCATAATTTTAATTTTAAAGTTTAAATCATTTTTAAAGCCTATTAGACCGTTTTAATTTGCTCATGACTACATGACTATTCAAATTTCTCATTCAATTTAAAGCCTTCAAATGAGATAAAATTAATCTTATTGGACAGCTAGTTATTTATACGTTTTTAAATTTAGCTATGTTAATTTGTAAAGGTTACGAATGAAATGTCATTAGTTGTATTTATGTAGTGTTGCTGTAAATATTAAAAAATTTAATTATAGTACGGAACCAAAATGAACCGAACCCGAACGATTCCATAATTATATTTGGATCTGATGGTTCCATTTATTAAAAACCCAAAAGTTTCAGAGAACCGAACCGACCCACGGACAATCCTAATTTCTAGGAGATTGAAAGCTCACTCCAAAAACCAATAATGGAATTCAAGAAAATTAGAATTCCATCTCTTATTTAATCGAATAACACCAAGTATTATACCACTACCACCATCACTTGCAGCAACAATGGCCTCCACAATCACCACCACTCATTGATATTCAATTGGCAAATCATAAAAGAGGGAATAAATAATAATGTTGTTCATTTAGAGTGCACTGATTCCCAACAATTCATGTGGTAGTAAGTCTTGTGGTAGAGTGGTCACTCCGACATTGACTCGTGATCATCAATGCTCTAGATGAATATCTTGCATCAATAGCCAACATTCAATTTGCAATATTCATAAAATGGAATTTTTTTTTTTTTTGAATCCCCAAAATCTTTATATATGTTTATGCAACATATATGGATATAAGGATGGCAACCGAGCATATTGGTGGTAAATCAGTCACTCTCGTCCCATCAGGTATTTTTGTCATATTGTCCCATCTTCATACTTGATTAAGGCGAGGCGGGGTGGAGCCTCTATCCTATTTATCGTCTCGTGTATTTATTATTTATTCTTATTTTTTATGTCATTTGTTGGTGTGAAAATCATTACTTTTTTTTTTAGTTTGTTAAGAACAACTCATATTCCCTTTAAGAAGAATAATAATTTTTTTCTTTTTAAAAGAAGCAAGTAGTGGGCTAAGAACCATGTTTTCCGTACTCATCGCATCCCCGCTTCGAAACAACAACCGCGCTATGTTTACCCGATTAGGCAGATAATCTTCGTCACGTTCGGGACAGAACTCTGGAGATATCTGGTTTAACGATATGTTTTACCATCCCTATATATGTATTTGAGCTAGTCAAAGTTGTCATACAGACTTCTTGTTATACGTAATTTCTTAATGGATTGGGGGTGATATGGAGCAGAATGTGAACATAATAATTGTTAATGCGTCTTCTTAAGAATTTGAGAACTCTAAATTAATAAAAAAATCCTGATCTCGGACAAGTGTGAAAAACTAAATAAATCTATATTAAAGCAACTATTAAGTTTCGTGAATCGATTGAGACTTTTAAACATGGTCAAACCAGTTTTGACTTTGCTTAATGTTGGGTGACCTCCATTAAAATTTACCTTAAAACAAGGAAAAAAGACAAAAAATAAAATAAAAAATGGACAATGTTGTACTATTATTAATGATTGTTATCTTATTATTCCAAAAAGACTTGATGACGTCTATGCACGAACTTTTGAAACAAAAAAGTTAAAGCCTGCCCCCTCGGGGCATATCCGAGTTGGCAAAGGACGGACATTGCTGGGCTTGCAACCTCAGGGTGGGGAAATCGATTCCTGAATAGAGCAGGTGCGTGTTGTAATACTCAATTTGGGTGGAGCAACTTGGTGATGTAATATCCATG